TTTCTAGTGGAAGTAACACACGCTCAGACATATGGGGCGGAGAAAACAGCTTGAGCAATAAGAAACAGTAGCAAAGAAAAGTGTGTGGTCATGATTTGAAGAGCGTGTTGTACCTACTAACAGAGCTAGGAGTGAAGAAAGTGAAATTTAATTTTGATAGGGAAGATAGGGAATGTATGAAACCTGAAGACCTCCTAAACAAGAGAGTCAAATAAAGAGAGGACTTACGGCTCTAGACAGTTAATAAAACATCTGAGAGTTTATCGGCACAGCTCCCTAGGTATTTTCTAGACGCAAGATCAAAAAAGTTTTGGTTTTGGCTCGAATTTATTTCTAGTTCACTTCAAGAATTTTCTAATGTAATGATTTCGACATGTCTAAAAGTATGCGGCTATGTCCATATATAAATGGTTTTAATTATACCTAGTTGTTTCTAGAAAGTGTCGCCGTCAGGAGAAGCACAGCTAGCGATCTATATACACAATAGCAATTAGTTTCATGCCAAGTTATTTTTGCTAAAGTAAAAAGTATGTTATATACATACAATATATATATCGAGCTAAACTGTTGCTGCCCGTAATTGAATTTGCATAGTAACCGATAAATTTTCCAGCGACAATTTTTTCCAATACCACAGTTAAACCATTGCCAAGTAAATTCTTACATTTTAACATGCAAATATTGGTATTTATTGCCGGCGCAGCTATCCATAAATATTAATAGCTATGTAGACAAGAATATATATAATAGTTATTTGCTTGCAACGCGCTTTGCATGCACAAAAAGTCGGCCAATTATAGCGGCGCTTAAGAATTTATTATGGAAGATAATAAATTACTTGGAAATATATATATATATTCACATGTTTATCTATATATATTTTTATAATATGTACCCATATCAGTACATTAGCATGTTTGTAGACATGAATGGTGGAGAGCTGCGAACTGTCAGCTGGAAATTTTCGCTGCAAAATGACATAAGAATAGTTAATGAAATATATGATAAGCAAATAGCTGAGAAAGGAAATATTTGCTGAGTTAAAGTAATATAGATATATGTACTATATATATATATATATATATCTATACATATTTGAGTAGAAATTGAGACACATATCTACGCTTAAGTATTAGGCGAGTTGAAAAATATTGATTACCAATACTAAATTGTCATCTTGGAGTACTGCTCTCTTTTCAAGAAACTTACATGCCAAAGTAAAAACCAAGTCATTAGTCGAACTCGGTATAAAGAAGTATATATTAAAAAATTTTCGAGTTAAAATTTTTATTTCGTAAAAATTTTTTGAGAAGTGTTCTAGAAGCTGTGGAGAGTCCTCTTTCTGGTCAATCAAAAGTTATCAACTTAAAAAAATGTTTGTGGTCATTATTGGAGTTTTAAAAAAAAAGTCTTAACCGACAACATGCTTTCCTTAAGCGTTAAAATAAATTTGGAGTCGAAAACCGTCACATTCGGTGATTTTTATATAAATGTAAAGTATTTACCTCAAATATAATTTTTTCTTGTCCAAAAAAAAATTTTAAATCGAAATTTACTTTCAAACTTATGTTAAAAACAATGTATGTTTTTGTGTCCAAAAATGTTTTTTTTATAATTTATAGATTTTACCCTGAGACTAAGCAAAAAAAATTTTTTTTTCGCTCCACCCTTGTATATATATGACACACTTAAGTATTATAATCGCCTATAAGCTATCTCAACTCGAATATGTGTTTGCATTTGCTTTAGCCAGTTGTTTGTTCGATTCGCCAAGTCTAAATGTTTTAAAAAGTATATATTATTATATATTATCTATGTATTATATGTAGTTATGCCTTAACAACTCTTATGCGCGTAATTTCTTAGCAAAAGTTCAGTTCCTTTAGAGAAGAAAATGCTATGTAAATATTTACATATAATGGTTTACTTTACTTGTCAAGTCTACTTAACTCACATATCTCTATTATGTCAGTCACTAAGTCAATTATTCGTAATTAGGTAGCGACGCAATCAACCTTCTATGTATGATATATAAATATATAATATAATATAAAAGTGTGCATATACATAACTGATCTACGCCGCTAGATATAAAGTATTCTCATATGAACAATTACTCTGCAGAACTAACTCAGTGGATGATTCGGTTAGCATATTTAACTAAATGATTATATTACCCGCTGAGTCATTCTCAGAAACATCAAAAGTATTCAATACGCCGCCTTATTAAATATTCTCAAAGCATTTTTTCTGTGAATAAACGTATTACACTTCGCTACTTTTGAAATTTGCTTATAGAAATTAATAAAGTAGTTTAGCTTAAAGGTGGCTTAAGCCGAGATTTCACTACAAGTCGTGGCATATATTTATATTTGTGAAACAGAAAAATCTTGTTGTAAAGAACTCTTCGAAATTCTTTCAACTAGTTTTATATACTAATGAAAATTGTTCACAAAAGTAGGGTATAATTGAGCTAATTCTAACAATATTACAAGTATACAAGATTTTGGATTAATTAAGAGCCACGTGAGCTTAATTTAGGAGCACGCTCATAATTATTTAACAATTTTCAGTAGTAATCATTACTTTATAATTATTTATTTTAATTACGATATTGATTTGTTATTGTGTAATGTTTTATAAATTTTTTTGTAGGTTTGAAAAATTATCAGTAGTAATCATTACATAAATAATTTTTTATTTAATTACTACAACATTGAATTATTATTATATCATTTCGCAACACTTTCTTGGTGCGCTAATTAAGTTTTCATTTAATTACTACAGTATTGAATTTTAATTTGGTCAATTTTAATAATTTTTTGGTTAGCTTCGCATGATCAGTTTACGATAATAATCATTACTTTATTAATTTTTTAATTAATTACTACAATGCTGAATTATTGTTGTGTAATTTATTACAAATGTTTTCGTAAACTTGTTTAAGTTTTTAAGTTGTAATGATTAATTAATTACTATTTTTTTATTTAATTACTACAATATTGAATTATTATAGTGTAATTTTTCATACATTTTCTGGTAAGCTTAACTGAACATTTTTTAGTAGTAATCAGTACATAATTAGTTAAGTATTTAATTACAAAATTTATAATAAATAATTACGATTTCTGTAAATATGTGATTTCGCATTAAACTATTTATATATTTATACGTGTTTTTATTGATTACTAAAAATTAATGTTTTAATTACAATTAAATGCAGTAATGATATTGTTTTTGTGAATTTCGTACATATTCTTAGGAAAATATGTTTAAATTACGTATATCTTAATATTTCTGTAAAAGGTTTAATTCGTTATAAGCTAATTAGCATTGCATTAAATTTTATGGTAATTTAATTTACTATAATTAATTACTGTCTCAGTTTTTTGCTTACATGGTGTTATTTGTTTGATATATTTATAAAAGGGAAAACGTACTTGGCTTGCATACCAATTTCATATTGAAAATTTTCGTACATAATATTACTAAAGAATTCGTACGTGTCAGCTGACAACGAGCGCAACAAGTTGACACACATGCATATGTGTATATATAAATAAATATATGTAAGAAATGGCGACTGTAGCAGAAAAATGGACAGTGACAGCAAAAAGTTAATGGCCAACATTTAATGTTTGTATGTATATATGTGTGTGAGCATGTCTGTATGTAACGTATATATGTATGTATGTATATATGCATGCATATATGTATATATGCCTGTATGTAATAATATATGCATATAAAGCGCTTAAGAAAGCAGTGAAGCGTCGAGAGAAGCAGAAAAAAGGAACAAGTTGCAGCCATTTCCCAGCGTGTTGTTGAACCCATTGAGTTTTGTTGCCAAGCTTCTTTCTTTCAAATTATATAGACTAACCGGGAGACTAAGTGAACGCATTTATTCAACTTCAAACAAATGCCAAGCTGATATGGTTAGTAAGAAGCAAGATGAACATATTTATTTATATGTACAAGTATGTATATGCCACATATACATAGCTGCACAGTAGCAAATTCTTGGCAATTAATCTCAGCATGCTCATAACGCGTCTACCAGCATTACACTCATTCCTCACACACACACACACACGCGCGCGCTCGCACGCACTCATATGTATGCATATAATTACAACATAGCCATATGATGGGTACATTCATCCTATCCAAGGCAGCAACAAGCATACTTACAACAAAAATGTGGAAAAAAGTTGATGTTGGTAACAAACTGCCTACGTACAACGTGCTTCGCTTTGTTGCCGGCATATCTAACAACAACTAACTACCAACTCCATTAGCCACACACTTGACTGCATCGCGAACGCGTTTGTTTTTCTCAACTTTTTGCGCCCTACTGTCTACTTTTTTGCCTACTAATGCTAGATATGCTCGCAGTTTTTCTTCTTGAGCGCATATTCTGATTTTTTACAAGCATTTCTGCTCCCCTTTCAGCCGCAGTTGTCGTAGTGAGCAGCAGTTTTCTTAGTCAACGTGCATTATCTGCATTCCATCGCCAAGTCATCAGCCTCAACTAACTCCAGTCACAGCCTCAGCCTAAGCTATTTGTTACCCATATTCAGTTCGGCTAATATGACGTGTTGGCTGCTACTACATACTAACTACTAACTGCTTATTACTTATTAACTACGTTCCACGCATATTTTGCCTCACACCGGCTGCTTGTATGCCTGCCGCAATGCCATACTAACATTTTTTTCACAACACACACACACACAGATAAATTTACTTATGCGTGTTTTTATGCGGATGTGGTATTATTTGTTGTTGTTGCTGCTACTTTTATTATTTTGTAATTACAACGTGCTTTACGGTGTGTTAACAAATGTAGCAGGGCGTAAGTACAGGCCATAAAAGAGTGAAATGACTTGAAAGGGGTATTCACTGTGTGAGGTAAGAGTTGGATTTTGACAAGAAAAATATTATGAAGTCAAAATTCGATTTTTATCTTTAAGAAGTTTTTCCTATTAAATTCTTTTTGATTTGAATTACTTTACTCGATTAAATGCGAGTAAAATTTAGTATATTGTAGATTTTTATAACGAAAATTTTTTTGGATTTTTTTTAAACTGTTTTAAACCATACAAATTCTACCACGCCCTCCCTTTCCTCTTTCCGATCAAAGATCACACGTAACTTAATTTTTCTTTCATTGTAGAAATATTCTTTTTCAATGAGTTTCATCCTACTATGATTTTTTTGCTTTCAAAAATTATCTACCCTGGTCTATAAGCCAGTTGAGAATTCCCACCGTAGTTTCTCTTTGGGCGGATGAAATTGTATGTTTTGTGAACTCAAAAGTAGCCATTTTCGATATATGATATCTAGAAGATACAAGAACTCGACCGCTGAGAACTTATCTGTGAAAGTTGTGGATTTCAAGGGAACTTTAAGAAATTTAAAAAAAAATCGATTTTCTTCTCTAGAATGGAGGATTTTAAGTTGGAATAGACATAAAATTTGACGATTAACCACTCAATGAGTTATTACTTACAAAAAAAAAACATTTACATCAATCCATAGACATACATATCAGGGTTGCCATAAAACAAAAAATAAAAAAGTATTAAACAAATTATCAATGCCCGAGTCGAAGCTCACATTACTACTCAGGTGCAAATTGCTCACTTAATTATTATTTAATTTAATTTTAAAAAAATATTATGAAATATGACAACTATTTTTTTTTTTTTCAACATACGATATTTTTTACTGTTATTTGTGTCAACTGAGATCAGATAAAGTGATCTTAAGGCATCATTAAAATTTATGTAAAGGCTTAAAAATTAATTTTAATGGTTTATAAGTGTTAACACTTTATGGAGCAAGGAGATTCGAACTCAATTTATTTTTTTTAGTATCACTTCATACATGTTAGGAGTTAGATTTTAGGCTTACTGCTATGGGAGCATTTATTTTTTTTTTACTTAGAGTAATTATTTTTTTTCAACAGTTTTTTTTCACAGAAGTTTTTGCAACTAAATTTTTTTTCTTTTTTGTGTAGTGAATACCCATGATTTTGCCGCCATAACAAAAAGCAAACGCTAAAAAACCTAAGTGCCTTATTTTTGCGCTTTTTGCTCTACAAACCAATACGGCGTGGAAAAATACGGTGGCAAAAACGTTGACGCGAAGGTCATTGTGCAAAATGCTGCAAACTTTAAGCAAAGTGAAGAAGAAGTTGAATTCAATAGCAATAAAAAATGTTAACGAAGTAAGGAAAGTAGATAGATAAGGCTTAAGAAAGATAGACGAAGCAACGCAAAAAGTTTTATATAATAGAAAATAGGCTCAAGTAGAACCTAGAGCTGGTCTAGTTCTAATTTGTAAATTTGTATTTTGTAAAAAATATTTTTAAATCTTTTATATTTCTTGTTAATTTCTTAATGCTTTTAATAAAAAAAAATTAAGTTTCTTTGTAATTTTTTGCCACTCTGTTACAAATTACTGAAAACGCGCAAAAAAGCAAAAGTTCAGCGCACTCTTTAAGCGACTTCCTGCGCGCTGCTTGTTTGCATAGTCCACATGCTAGGCGGGCCTTTACACACACACACAAACACATATATATTTGTTTGTTTGTAAAGCATTTATGAGCTTTTTACCGCATATTTCATTGTTTTGCAACCAAATTTTGCGTATTTTCCACTTCACTACAGGCATTTTTCTGGCCATTAGCTGTTTTTGTTTTCTTTGTTCTTTTTTTGTTTTTATTATTATGCCTTTTTGCTTATTTTCTTTTGCTCACTTGCTTTTGTTTCCGTTTTTACCTTTCACATGGGCGCGTTCTTGCCTGGGCGTTAGAGTGTTCCCATTTATGACAGCTGTAGACAGTTTATGACAGCTGCCGTAACTCCAGCACTCGGTAGTGTAGAAATGTATATACTTGTGCATAAATATTTGCTGATTTACATAACGTATTTTTTTATTGTTTTTCTGCAAAATTGCGCAATACTTTTATTGGATTCTGTGTGGTGTTGTAATAACTTTTTGTTGCGTGTTTTATTGTTATTGCTGTTGTTGAAGATATTTTTCGCCCATTTCTGCGAGTTTTTATGGTGTTTATTCTCTTAAAGTTTTTATTTAAATATTTTTTAATTTTTTATGCGATTAAATTTTTTTTTTTTGGAATGTGTAAATTTCTATAAATTTTTTGTTATGTTAATTCCTTTTAAGCTTTTATAAAAATAAAACTTTTTTATTTCGCTTATAATATTTTTTTTTAATTTATAAATCTTTAAAACTCTTTTGTTTTTGTATTTTAATTTTTGTTTTTAATATGTTTTTACAATTCATTTTTCCATTGAAATTTCGCATACAATTTACCTTTCAGAATTTTTTGTCGTTTTTGCACAAAAATACTCTAAACGGTTTCAAATGCATTGACAGCTGTCAAAGTGGGACGCACAAAGTGATGTTGAATGCGGGTGTATGCAAAAATATACTTAATTTTCGTGCAATTGCAGCGTAAAATAATAGAAATTTAAATGCAAGCAAAAGTAAAAAATCGAAAAAAAACATGTTGAAATTTCGGTGTGGCACTGCCACTTAGTGACAGTTATGCAGATATGTGGGTCAAAATGTTGAAGTATTAATAATTTGTGCTGCACTTCAGTAGACAATTTTTAAATTTTTTACAAAGAAAATCGAAAAAATAAAGACTAAATTTTGTATAATTTTTATGAATTATTTTACAATTTTAATAATTAATACAAAAAAGTTCAAAAAAAAACAGAAATGTTTTAAATAAAAAATAAATAAAAAAATTAATAATAAGCAATTGGCGCTGTAAAATCCACACTTCGACCCAAAAAAGATGCCGTTTTTTGATTTATAAGAAAATAGCCGCCAAAAGCGGAAGTAATTTTAAATAAAAAACCTTTTATTTGTTCTTTCGTGCTCTTCTGCGCGCTCTACAAATTAAATATGTATTTATACATAATTATTATGCCACACATACTGCTATTTGTGTATTATATATACATATACTCGTATTTGCGCAGCCTCTGTTTAATGAGCGCAAGTGTTAAGCGGAAATGCAGCTCGTGCTCATTGGCGGCATATTTGCTATTTCCGTTTTACTGCAAGATCAAAGAAAATTCCAATATTTTTTTAGGTTATGGTGAAGCAATTTCTTTCAAAAGCCGCCAACTGAGCCATCTAAGATGACTGTCTTAATTTATTTTTTATTTTTTTTATACCTATTTTTTTATTTTTTGTTCTAACTTTTTTTTTAACCAGTTGACTGACCTTCCAAGATCATTATAGCCAATGATGTATTACAAAATCGTCTGCGATTGCTTTAATATTTGAAGCATAAAAGTTACAAAGGTTTATGGTGCTAATGCGATTTGATGATTTGGCAAAAATATTTCAGAAAGCATGTGAAAAACCAAAAGAAGAAATATAATAAAAAAGTACGAAAATAAATACCGTTAAATGTAATATTAAAATGGCGACAGAATTATGTTTGGGCTGAGATTATATAAAAGTATTCGAAGCAAATTAGATAAATCTGTCGGGTAAATATATTTAAATGAGTTGAAATTGCAGCAAAAAAAAATGTTCAAAACAAAATCGCAAAACTATAAAAAAAATTAAGTTTGTTATGTTTCTTTAATATTTATACAGAAAGAAGTTTTTGGAAAGTAGGTGTTTTATAAAACAAATTATTTTTCAATTCCACAGCTCGCTAAAAAAAATTGGAACTAAAGATTAACCATTACTATTTAACATCATCCTAAACGTAGGCAATTATTTTTTTTACATCGCAGCATAGTGGTGCCTACATTAAGGCACATTGGCAGGAAATCCACTATAAGTAATCATTAATTCAAACAGTTACTTTTTATTTCTTCTAAATTTGTAATAAGTCCTCTTTTCGTTTGAAAGTTTTGAAAATTCTCAGCTATGCGTATTTCACAAAAGCTTTCAAAGAAGTTCTAGATTTTCGTTCAAAATTATTATCTATATTAAAATCTTATCATGTAGAATAAAGTACATTTATTGAAGAAACCGGAATTCAATAACTTAAGCTTATGGGCTCAATTGATACAGTTGTTAAAGAAACTGAAGCATATCAGTATCATTACTACATTTATATTTTTCTATCGGTGAGTTCTGAATCCTCCGATCACTTCTGATCTAAAAGGTCTGTCAAGTTACCGAAAAATCAAGTATGCTTATAATTCTGAGAGAATTCCTTAAAAGGACAAACTAATTACAATCAATTTGATTAGTCAACTCGGTAGTTATTGAATGAAAAGAAAAATATTATTTCGTTTTATAGCTTTTAAGATTGAGCGTTGATAGAAAAAATATCACACCAGAATGGAAAATGATTTTAAACAGTCTCTTTTCGTTTTAAAAAATTAAAAAAAAAAAATTTCGTGAAAAAGCGGAATCAAGTTAGATTTTTTTACGAAATTCATTTCTTTCAAAATGTTAATATCTGCTGGATAAGTAAGTGTTACCGATAGAAGGCAAAATAACTTGTAAACTCTTCTTGAGAAACAACAAATTTTGGTGAGAAATTAATTTGTCTTCAAAATCCCGATTTACCTGTGGGATATACCCGAATGCATTATTCCCACCTTCCTCAAAATTAATCTTATTAGATGATTTGCTATTTTACAGCAATTACTTTGTTGCACTGCTATTAAGTGCGTTTAGAAAGGGTAGGAAAGCAGCGAGAAAGGTTTAGAAAGACTTGAATATAATCAACACCGGGAGTTTAGTATTGTTAATTTGAAATTATGAAATACCCGACGGTTGTGTATACCATATGTAGCCGGTATTACCAATATTAAAAATTTAAGCTGTCGGGATCCCGTTTTTTGTCGATATCCCGATTTTTCCGGAACCAAAAAAGTTAATGACACCACTTAAATACCATTTATAATATATATTTTCATTTTCGGGATCCGGTTTATTTGCGGTATCCCGATTTTTTCGGGACTAAAAATATATAAAATTAATATTAACATTACAGCACCATCTATTAAATTTATTTTTTAATATCGGGATCCGGGTTATTTTGCGGAATCCCGATTGCTTCGGTACTAAAAAAATTAAAAATTTTTGTTCACATAGAAATATATTTATTAAATTTAAATTTAATTTCCGGGATCCCGTTTATTTTCGGTATCACGTTTTTTTCCGGACTAAAAAAGTTTAAAATTAATATTAACACTACAGCACCATCTATTAAATTTATTTTTTAATATCGGGATCCGGTCAATTTTTTGGAATCCCGATTAGTTCGGTACTAAAAACTTACAAGTAATGTTAGCATTGAAAACTATTTGTTAAATTTAATTTTCATAATAATCTTCACAATATGCGTACAAGCACTTGAAGCAACAAAACAAATAGCGTAAAGCAATAATTGATTTTACAAAAAGTTGCCACACAATGCTTATTTTTTTAAAGCATTGTCACAATGCTTACACAATTTCTCGTAATGCTCTATTTATTGACTTTTTTATATAAAAACTCTTGCATCTGTGTATGTATATTTATTTGTTTTTAAAGTCTAACTGTCTTGCCTGCCATCCTTTCTTTGTCATCAAAGTTGCGCGATCGCTTGATCACCAAGCAACCGCTATTTGATCAATGATTATGACTTTTATGTCATTTTTGCCGCCAGCGAAGAAAAACTGACTACGCAGTGTTTGTTGTATTTTTTTGTCACTATTTGTTTTTCATAAAAAATTTCCTATTACACATATTCATTTATAGGCTGTGTATGACCTGCATTTTCATATAAGCACCATATGTGGCTGTTGTTGTTGTTGTAGGTAGCTTGTGTGTTGCATGTGGCACGCATGCGCGCTTAATCATATTTTTATGACCGTCGATTGGCTGTTAAGCAAATAACAAAAAGTCAACAACAACAACAAACAAAGCAACGCCTCACTTCCACACATTTTGTGGCCAGCTGTTGCTTGAACCCAAAAAACCCGCACTCATATCCGGAATGCAACAACAACACTCACGTGTGTGAGCGCTCGTTAGCGGCATGCCTGCTTTGGTTGCCGCTTAGACAGTTGCTCGCCTTTAAATTACCTGACGTTTGGTCATAGTCTGGTCACCTTGGCTTTGTTAAGCGTTTGGCGGTTTTTTCTCAGTTTTTATTTTCAACTTTTTTTTTCAAATTTTTATTCAATTTTTTTCCTTCAATATTTTCTTCGTCGTTTCTTTTTATGTTTTGTTTACGGTTGTTTGTTTTTGTTGTTATTATAGTGCCTTGTAGGTTTTGGCTTTGTGCAATGACATTTCAATTGCTTTATTGCGGGTGTATATGTATGCACGTTAGTGTGCGTTTCTTCTATGATTTTCATAATCGCCACTCATTGGTTGTTGCTTTTGTGGCTTGTTGAAAGTAACACTTTCAAGTGCCACTCATCAATTGTTTTCGCACTTTTTTCTGCAGATTTGCTACAAGAAAGGCTGCACAAAAACAATCCATTTATTTCCTGCGTGTATAATTTGTTGTTTTTTTATTCGTTTGCTCATTTGACGCTCATTTTATAAGCATTGAGTAAAAATTTAACGGTTTTTGTTCATTTAATTGCTTTTCTCCAACCGATCTTTTGTTGCTGACCAATGTTGCATAATCTCGAATTCCATGCGACATGCGTCACATGCCTAAAAATACCCAAAAATCAAAACAAAACCGAAAATTGTGGCAAAAACCAATAACGAAAGAGCAATATTGGTAACCATATCGAATTTCGGTACAAAAAAAAAAACAAAAAAACAAACGAAGAAGAAGAAAAAATCTCAAAGAAATGCAAAATTCATAAGCAACCGAAAATGGCTATTTAATTATCACCTATGTATATACATATATATATTTCGGTTTATTTTCGCTTCACCTTTACAAATATTTGCTCGAGTCCGGCTCACACATCGATAACTACTTCAAACTACCTCAAGTGCTCAATATTTGCTGAGTAAATTTGTTTGGTATGTCAGCGTCAAATATTATATAATATACTTATCCATAACCGTAATATGGTTCCAACTTAAAGAGAGGTCTGCTAAGTATAACAAAAGGGTTGTTTGCACTAATTTTCCACACGCACATAATGCAAGTGAGTTTAACACGATCCTTTTATGTTCTTGAAGCTCACACTAATACACTTTAGTCAATGAAGTGATATTGTATACGTGACTAACATAGTAACCTACATACTATATTACTAAGTAGGTAATTTGCACTGAAACAATAAACAAGCACTTGAACGGTGAGCAACAAGATAACTGATCATTTACCATCATTTTAACTATTTTCATACTCAAGTTTAATTTGTAAATTTTGTTGGTAAAGTGAAGTGGTTACAGTTTAAAATACGAAATAAAATTAGAGAGATCAGCCTTGCAATCTGTATTTTCCGATCTCGCAACAAGATCAGATATAACGAGTGAGAGTTTAGCGATGGTTCTACCTAAATAATTACTTACTGAAATGTAAAAAGTGCTTAAAAACTCAAGAATATAATAAGTTTTCACTCAAAAAACCAAATATTCTAACACTTCATTAAACTACTTATTATCAAGTGATCTTCTGAAATTTTGAATGCATAGCATATAAAAAAATTTAAATTGGTTACTTTACTTTAATAAAAACCCATCATAGTTCACTTAAAATTAATAATAGAAGTGATCTTCTCCCAATATTTTAGTATCTAACAAGATCAGTCTATGTAAAGTCATGATCACGTTTTAATAAAATACTCGAATACTTGTTGACTTTTACTGTAATAATATCTCCAGTTTTTCAAAATTTCAACCCTTCTAGATTTTTCTAATTAGCGAATACATGCCAGTATCTTGTATATTAATTTTTCTAATTAACATATAAAGACGCCTTGTGGTCGCCAACCTATTTAAACAACTAACCGATATTAGTGTTCATACGGTTATACCATATACCATATTATATTGAAATCAGATAACCAAACTTTTAACCAGCTTCAAACTACAATTTATTTTTTTTATTTAAAGTGTCCTGTTTGTTCTGCGATCACTGATCGTTACGCCACGGTTTAACTGTTTGCTTCATGGTGCTATATTTACTTTTTTCTTTGTAGTTATCACTCAAGATTTGCCGAAGAGACTTTACCATCGAATTTGTTTGCTGTCTGCATTCCTGGTGAGCGCAGCCTATAAAAATTGCAAACAAGATCGTTTACTGATCGTCAGTGTGAAGTTTTTGGTTTATGGTAAGATAAACTATAGATATTGGAAATTTCTTTAGAAAAACAATTGCGGCATTAGATTGGAAGGTAAGGGTTGATATATCTGTAACGAAGTGATCGATGATCTTAGATCATTTACTTTCGATTTGGTCTTAAAACTCAGTGGGAAAGAACTGATTATAGCATACGGTTCTAAAATAAACTATAATATATACTTTTTTTAATTGAATAGGCAAGTAGTCAAGCATCTGAGGACCAATATTTATTCTTGATAGTTTTATAAAGAGTTGAGGTCAATATATTTCTAGACAAACAAAAATATGTATTTTTGATTTACAAATTTTTACTTCGGCGATCAATGATAATACAAATTCTAGGTAAGTAAAAATTTTATATAATAAAAAATTATTGTTTTAAAAACTTACGATCTCTCATTTTGCTGCGTTTCACTTTAAATCAAGAAGGTGATACCAGAGCGGACTTTGCTGGGCATACAAATTGACACGCTCACTGAACGACGATATTTGGAATGGCCTATAATTTTATGCACTTCTGGTGTTTTCGATTCACTTCAAAAGCAGTCAAGTAAATCGAAACTGAATTCACTATTTATTCACTAGAATCAAAGTTAGAAATTGTAGTATAGTGATAGCGCAAGATCAGCAGTGATTTTCATTGATCGATTCACGTGCTTTTTATTTTTAATCAGTCCACTTTAAGCTTCGTTTGCAGATTACACAAATGAAGCAAAAGCGCTTAATTTATTATAAAGTTTATTGATTAATCTTTATTTACAAACATTTAACTTTTTTGATCACCGAAAACATACTTTAACAGTCAATTACACTTGATTTCAATTAATACACTTAAACATTTAAATGGCAACCGTTAAATTTTCAGAGTCAACACGCCTATCTGTCAATCACTTTGCGCACCGCTAACACGCCGAAAGTGCAACGCACGAACAAATGCATGCAACAAATTTATTTTTAGCTCGAGCTGCCGGTGAAATGCCGCATGCCACACGTGTACAAGTGGAAATGCAACAACGGAATGATGCAGCACCGGCACAGGCAGAACAGAGTTAGTTGGCCGATCGCCATTGAAGTGGTGGTGGTGTTGGCGGTAAGGCATTTGCGGCGAGCGATATAGCCCGTGCAACTCGAGCGAAGCAACATTGTCTGCTGCCGTCTTCGATCACTGTCGAACCGGCAGACAAGCAGGCAAGCGGAAGCATTGTCACACACATATACATACATATGTGCAGTGTGCCTGTGACTAGGCAGTCAAGCATCAGAAACTGATCTGGTTTGATTAGTGAATGTTGTTGAGCGAAAGTGAAGTTGAAGTTTACCGGCAGGTGAGAGAGAAAGAGAGAGTGTTCGATGAGAGCGCAATGCTGGAGAAAGGTAGTGTATTGAGCGCTCAAGGTGTGTGGTGTATTTTGCAGCTGTAGAGTGTAGTAAGTGAAGTATGTTGCCGCAGCATGTTGCTCAATGTTGCTAGCAGCAATTATGCTGTAGTGTGGTGAATATAAGGTGGGTTATGATTTGTTTGAACTGAGAGCGATGGAGCGAAGTCATATATATATTTTTATAAGAGCAATATAACCATCTTTATATTATCGAAAACTTCTAAATTTTTTCTAAAATACTTTTTTTTATATATATAGTTTATATATAAAACAGTGAAAAATCTTTATGTATAAACTTTTGTGGAACGAATAGTGAAATTAGTACTGTCAGATTTACCTTGATCATAATCTTCATAGATTTATAGTTTGCGCAGAAGCAATATTGTAGCAATCTTCAAGATATTTGTAGCAGAATTGGCAAAAGTGTGTTAGAGTTACTTCTCGGACCTCACGTAACCATAAAGTTAGTTATCGTGTTATTGCAGAAGCTGTTGAACTCTGAAAATGCCTAATAAACTAGTCTACAAAATCACAGATAATGCTATCAGCTTTCTGGGACCAAGTTTCTTTCGTTGTGGGCAAAACAACTTTAGCAACATGTTAAAGTGAATTACTAAGCAACATTTTAGGTTGATAAACATGTTGCAAACCAATAAATGCTTATAAACATTTAGATTGTAATGTATTATATATATATTTATTGACTTATTTTTCAGTATTTTTTTTAACAACAAGTGCAGAGTACCGTTGAGTGATAACTTTAAACGTTTACACTTATCTCGCTTTTTCGACAAAGTGAGCTGCATTCTCGGTCTTTAATAAATTAAAGCGCATTTGTCATGCCGTCACTGCAACGCGACTATCAACACATTTGTGACCCAATAAAATAGCTTAATAATATGGTGGCGTAGAGCCGAGTGCACGCAAGACAACGCAACAAAGTAAGTAAAATTAAGCCAAAAATATGATAAATACACTTTATATATAAAAGAATATATCAATTTCTCGGCAGTGCAAATTTCGCAGAAGAAATCCCCATAATGTAAAAATAAAATTAGCGAAATTGGGACAAATGCGCGCGCATGCGCGCCCATAAAACACAGCCGAGGGCGAAAAGGAAGGCTCCCAGCAAGTAGCCAAACTAAAAAATATTGTCAAGGAAGTAAACACAACAAAAAAAAAATAATATTAAAAATAAAACTTTGCAGGACAACAACAAAAAGTGACCTGCTTTACACGTAAAAGCTGTTTGTATGTGCTACATGCAGCCACGGTCGTTTCGTACACGGCTATCCAGGCGATCCAGTATGCTTGTACTCATTATAATTTGGTCATAATCGACAGGCGCACGAACTGTCGCCTGTACAGACATGCAAGCCACATGGTATTACCACAATACTTGGCGCACAATGCGACGTTGTGCGTTGCAAAATCGGCGGACTGGCATTTTTGACATATCGCGCATTGCCAAATACTTAACTGCTCCATATATTTCAGCCACATTTCACTTTAACAATGGTCAACAGCAACAAAAATAACAAGAACAAAGGCGAACAATGCATTGCAGCTTGTACTTGCGCGCTGTTGCTTGGCCGTGGTTGCGCATGCGCCAACATCAATTGGGTGAATGGCGAAAAGAAGTTGTAAAATCTTGCAGTTTTTTATATATTAATTTTTTTTACTTTTATTATTTATTTTTATCGCGTTGTCGACTGTGATGCATCATAAACGTAGCTGTAAATGTGTCAAATAATGAACAGAAAGGAAAACCATTTAGTGATATGCAATTCTTTCTTTGTGCCTGTCGTATGAAAGGAAAATGGGTCAGTGGTGCTGCATATAGGTATGGCAAGACGAATTGTCTCTGGTGAATTGTTGAAAAGCAGTATTTTTTTTTTGTTTTCATTTTGGTTGTGTGTACGTACAGCTCACTTAACTGCTCGTTTATGCAAAATAGCTTTGAAGTGGCAATGATTTGTTGCTTTGCGCTGTCTAAATTTAGTAGTTGGGATACTGAGATTTCTTAAATAATAATGACTAAAGTTATTTATGACTTAAAGGATATATTTGGTGGAATGAGAAGGTGTTTGTTGGGTGTTGATCATAGCGGAAGCACAATACGTTATATTGTAGCCTCAAGTCTAAATATTTTCTTTAATGGAAACAAAGATTACGTACGTCTAAAATTTTATTGCCGCTGTGATAATAAGACCGTATTCAATTTTGTGATTTATATACTCGTATTGTTTTCTTTGGCATTTCAAACCCCCGTTAACCTAATTTTGAATGATTTTAGACTAACGCCACAGCCGATACAGCCCGTTTAATAGCTGAATGGAATATTATCTTTATTTGAAAATATAATATTATATAATCAGTTAGGCTTACTGAGGTCGAGTGCCTCCAAAATACCTGCCATGCTTTCTCAATCGACAAAAAAGTTCATTACCAGTAACAATAAAGAGCGTTAACTTCACCTGCACCTAAGCTATAATACCCCTCACAGGTGCATTTCTTATAGCATAAAAGACTATAAAAATATCTTTATCTTGATTCTGATCGATTAGTTTGTATGACCGCTATATGCTAGAGTGGTACGATCTCAACAATATCTTCTAATATTAAAGCGTCTTAGATAATAATTCATGCCAAATCTCGTGAAGGCATCTGGTCAAATAAAAAAGTTTTCCATACAAGGACTTGAGTTTGAACGTTCAGTTTGTATGGCAGCTATGTGCTATATCGATTCGATCTCAGTAATTTCTTTTGAGTTTACAGCATTGCCTTAGGCAATCATTCATGCCAAATTTCGTAAAAATATCTCCTCAAATGAAAAAGATTTCCATACAAGAACTTGATTTTGATTGATCAGTTTTCCATTAGAAATATTTTCAATTAATAGTCACAATTATACTGACCGATCTCCAGTCTTTTCTACATATTAAGATTGTTGAAGGATGCATAATCCCTTTGCAAGAGATTCGGTAGTAATATAGATCTACTGCTGGACTTCATGCGAGAAGTTTCAGCGGTTTTTTAATTCATGATAATATCACATTTTCTACTTCAACCACTATTTGTTTTGCCAACCAACTGTCACAGCCCAAACCAATAAATATCTGCTTATTTTTTCGTGCTGGTCACTGCTTCTTTATTCTGTTTCGCTGTAAGATATCGACTTTATTTTCTCATTTAGATTTATTATATATCACGTGACCATTTTTTTGCCTTACCTACAGTAGTTACCTATGAACTTATGCAAACAACACCAGCATCGGCATATAAACACGATACACATTCAATAAATAAGTAAAAAGCCGCAATATAACAAGAGATCGAGCTGAGGTCTAAGAAAAAATAATATTACAAATAAAAATAAAATATTTATATGCATATGTGACAATGTCGTGCGCCAATATATTAAGGGCGTTGTGCCGTAGAAAATCTAATATAAATAAATGCAATGTAAAACCATATGCATTAATGCATATATGCTGCTATATAATATATATGTGTGTGTATCTATAAGTACATAGGTGTGTGTGTGTTAAACTTGCTTGAGAAAGGTTAGTTGGTTACAAATAAATGGGAACAAGGAGCAGCGGCAGCACTCAAAATCTCATTCACATGCAAAATAAATATTGTTTCCATTTTGTAGCAGCAAAGCAAAGGAAAGCGTATCAAAAGAATATTAAATATGCATAAAAACGAAATAAAATAAATAGATAAATAGAAAGGCAAGCCCACGGGCGTGTGAGAGCGTTGCAATGTGAATTTCGTGAAGCGTATGCAGTTGGGTGTCTCAGTTTTTTTTTTTTTTGAGCAGTTTTTGGTGTGTCCTGTGATTGTTCTTTTCTGGCTTGGATTTAAATATATTATATTTAAATATTATTTAGGCTTGTTTTGAAATTTTTTTTGGCAACCTTAATTTTTAGCTCATTTCTTGTTTCATTTTGTCAAAGTTCTTGATGCTTCATTAACATTCAAATTTTATTGCTTGAAAATGGCTGGATTGTGTGTGCCAACAAGTGAATTCCAAGGATTTGCATCCTATATTGAATAAAAACATTCTTGAATGGGTTCAAATAGACTGTGCTTGGTTGGTATAAAGGAGAGTTAGTATATTCGAAATGCGTAAAAAACTCTATTAATTTTTTTTTTAATAAATTGGTTTAAGAATATGCGACGATATACGTTATTTATAGGAAGGAATCATGAACTGCTACCAACACACATGAGTTTCTTTCAAAAATACCAGGGCTCCATTGAAATTATTATGAGGAATGCTGTTAAATTAACAGTCTTTGGGCGGATAAAAATCTAGCGCTGAAATCGAATGTCTGGGGAACGTAATATATGAAAACTGCTTCTAAATTGTTTACATTGAATGAAGAATCTTCAAAACTTCCAGATGAGAAGCAAGAAATTAAAAAAAAATGAAGGTAAAAGATTTCTAAATATATTAGAGTATATTTAGAATAATATTTTCTCTAGTGTTACTTACGAAAATAGAAGAATTATTCCTACAGATAACAGAAGATCTATACACGAGGCTTTATGGAATAAAATCAGAGTTTTGTCTCGTTTATCTTCTGATTTGTGATCAGTACTATGGACTGTACAGAGTCCTTGAAATATTTAAGAAACACAACATTTTTTAGACTAATCACCTTCTTGTTATTAATAATAGTAATAAAGCTAAAATATATTAAAAAAATATATATGTCTAATGTTCATAACCCACATACTATATTTCACCTAAACTCAAAATAAACCACTACAACAACAACACTAATAAAATTGCCTACAACCGCCTGCCTACATACACCCAACCCAGCCTTAAAAACTATCAGCTCTTGAAAAAAATATTAAATGACAGTTACTTTTGTTTTCATGCAGCAAAACATGATCGATGACCGTTATTGTTGCCAGACAGCAACAGTAAAAACTGCATGTATTGACTTTACAATATTTTTTATTGCATATTTTCTGTTACTTCAAGATGCTTTTTATTTACAAACTGCGACCAAATATTTGTGTGTACATATGTCAGTGTTAAGTGCCATTTTTTGCATTTATGCAAATTTGCAAATTTATGCGAGTGGCTTCTTTGTGAAATTTTGCAT